AAGATAAGGCTATTGCTTTCTACAGCCTGTCACTATTACAAAACCACTCTTTACTCTAGAATGGAAATACTTTTAAGTGTTGAATTTACAGTTTTCAGTAGCATTAAAAACAGGAGAGGGAAAATGTGGTTTCAGTAGAAGGGGAAGTTTAACCACGAATACCTCAGCAATGAGCACTGTGCTGGACTCCTGCACTCACAGTGGCCGCATGGGGAGAATAAAACAAATGTGTGAAATGGGCTTGGCGGGGCGGGGGTAGAACTTTTAATTGCTACCATTGGGTGTATTCATCATCTGAAAAATGGGAAAGGCTTGTTCTCCATCCCTCAGTTTGGGAAATCCAGCATGAAAATAGAGGCAAGGAGAAATATGGCAGATCTTGCCTGTTAGCTGTTGTTTTGCCACGTGCTTTGTAACGGGAAGTGTGATCAGGCTTGGAATAAAGCTTTCTATGGCTGAAGGTAAAAGCGTGCGGTGAGCTCTATCTTTCAGTACCATCCAGCATGTGTCTGAGTCTGCCTGTTTTTATTTAAATCCGTGTCTGTGTATATACACATTCCATTTAAATTAAAGCATATTCAGGAGAGAAATCCTGGGTGCAGAAAACAAATGATGGTTGCCCAAATTTAATTTTATTGGTAAAACTAGTGCAGTTTTCAAATAAACATTTGTTTGAAAAGTATTGAAACAGAATCAAATCTTTCAGATTTAAGGGATTGATTTCCATAATGATTTTGACAGCTCGATTATAACACAACTTGAATGTAAAAATAAAGCAAATTGAACTTCTTGGTAAAATCAACATGAAATAAGATCTTATAGAAAATTTGGACAAAATGAGGGATAGCTTATTATTTCATCTATTGATTTATTGTTTAGTGATATCAGTATTTGCTAACAGAAAGCTCTCCCATTTTAATTTGACCAGGTCTCAAAACTCCATTTTTAATAGCCCTCCTTTGGCTTTTCAGGCCCTAAACCCTGAGACCTGTTCAGCTGCTGGTTGGTATCTCTGGGACTGCTTGTGGTTTGGCAGGAGGTCACACCACAAACATTTGTTCGTTGCTGCTCACTTGCTCATCTTGCTGCGAAGGTCGGCAATTCACAATTTAGAATTTATTTTGATGTTCCAAAGGGCACAATATGCATTAGGAAAGTAGTATCTTATATTTATCTCTAAGTTACATTTTTGGCATGCTAGAATTTTAACTGAAGTGTTATGGTGTGGTCAGCAAATGTTAGACAAATCCCCTTAGTCCAGACCCCATCTGTGCCTAAGTGTCTTCCATAGCAGCTGTGGGGCTGAAGACAACAGGTTCAGACTGACAATTTGTTCATTATTGGTATGATACAAATTGTGTCCCATTTTTTATCAATTCTGACCTTAAAATTGTCCCCTTCTATAATAAGTCCTACATGGAATTTAAGCATCGGTTGGTGTTTGGATGTGAATTTAGCATTTGGTGAGTGTCCTCCGTTGCATCCATCTTACACCAGTTACTGCGATGGAAGTCCTGGTGCTCCTCAGGAAAGAGGGCTACTTCTGCACCTCACATCAGGATGATCATTTTCGTGCATCTCTGTCCTGTTTGCTAAGTTTGGAATCCTGGACCTTTCAGGAAACCACAAAAGTGAGTTTTAAAAGGCTTCAATATATGTTTCATTTTTTAATTTGCAAACTGATTTCTGTCCCTGTTAGGCTACAGTGGGCCAAAGAACTTGGTGATCACATGTGTTGCCAAAAAGAGTTTTTACAACCTTTTCTTGCTAAACTGTTACCTCTGACTAAGGTTTGCCTAAACAGAACAGTGTGAAGATATTAAAAAAAAAAAAAAAAAAAAGAGTAAAAGTGAAATGCACAAAGGTCTTTAATAGTTTGGTTAACGCTTGCTGTTTCTTCTGTGGATGAATCTTTAAAATCCTTTCACAGATACTAAATTTCATAGTTTCCAAAGCTTCTGTGGATTGCGAGCGCGTCTCTCTCGCAGTAATGTTGAAGGTTACGGTTCGGGTTCCAGACATTCCCTGTTAGCGCTGGTCCGCACGCAGGGCTGACACTTACCTGCTTTTCTGCTCTCCACAGATGGCGACAGCCACAGATGGCTTTGGTCAACAGGTGCTTACTGTGTTTGGTCATTTTGATCCTCATGAATGCTCTGGATTTTGATAGGTATCAGCAACTACAGGATCATCAGGGACACTGTAATTGTTGCTTAACATTTCGTGTTTCATAGAGCTGATGTTCCACATGGGAGAAACCATGGCTGTATCTCATACTTGGAAAGCTCGAGATGATCCTGCACCGCTGCCTTGGTGCCCCTGCTTGCGCAGGGGGGCAGAACAGGCCGCGCTCCAGAGCTCCGTGCCCAGCTCGGCCCTCCTGTGACTCTGTGCCCTGCTCCTCCAGCAGCCGGCTCGGCCGCGCACATCGCTACTGGGGCTCGTGGCCATCGAATCCCCACGTGGCAGCAGCCTGGGCACTTTGTCAGCAACGCTGCACCTGAGCTGCTGCTGCACCTGAGCTGCTCCTGCACCAGGCTCGCAGCAGGAAGGGCGTTCGGGCACCGAGGCATCAGGGGGTCTTTCTTTAGCGCTGTTATGCCAAGGATGCAACCCAGTTTTGGCTAAGCAGAGATGTAACAACACGGGGGAGGTCAGCAGTGTGATTCTCTTATATTAATGTAACAGCTCAGGTCAAGCTCTGAGTCTGATCTTGGCTGCATCAGACAAAATCTTCAATGTGACATTTAAAAATAAATGGAAAATACGAATAGAATAAATAGGAAAGGGCAAATAAATAGAAAAGGGCCAATAAAGCTGTTTGGATTATGTCAATTAGTTTGCACTAAGAGAAGATAGGCATGTAAGAACTTACCAATTAGACCTCTAGCACCTTTCCTTGTTTAGTATCTTAATTATGCAAGTGTAAAGGATCTGTGCAGAATTATTTTAGATTAAATGTTGGAGAGTCCGTATGTAACCTGAACATATTAAAAAAAACAGCAGCTGTAAAGTGCTATTAAGGAAAAGCATCAAATGAACTTTTAAAATTCCTATTTTTACCTTTTGCTTCCCTATTATTCTCCTCTCTGTAAACAGCTTTATGCTTGAGCTGACAATGGACCTGGCTGAAATCACGTTTCAGAAATCAGAAATTGCTGCAGGCCGGGTCTCATTACAAGAAAGCCCCTTGCCCAATGCTGCCGCAAGCAATGACACATCTCCCACTGGCAATGCCAAAGACCCCTCAGAGAGGGAAATTGAGGGAGATTTTCTTTTCCTATGCGGCTTAGGGGCAAACTTCCAGAATACT